GAAGACCGAAGAGAGTGACTGCAAATTCAGGATAATGGTAACAGCTACCTCGTCTTCGCTTCTTAGCTTTAACATCTCCAGATTCTCCACCATCTCTCCTCTCGACCCCAAACCCTCTGCAAGACCCAGAAGCTCTATCTGCAGGGCTAGTTTCGGTGTACATAGGAAACCCACCAACAGCAGCAGCCAATCATGGAACCTTGGGTTGCTTTCTTACAGGTACTTTCGAGCAACCCTTTTCAGTTTTCTCTTCTAAAAATCTTTCTTTTGTGATTTTACCTCTGTAAATTGAGACCCTTTAACGTAATACGAGAATGGTCTCTTGTTTTGAGTCAGCTCGTCTTTGTCCTTGCAATTCCTTATTGGCTTTGGTATTATTGTTTATGCTCTTCAAAAGATTATATAATAAGATTTTCAGCTTGTAAATGGAGTCCATCTAGAATAGGATATTAAAAAAACCATTTTTGAAAATTTGAAGCTTTTTGTACGGTTCTAGGATTTAGAAGTTCTTGTGGTGTAATTTGTAATCTAAATAACAGCACATTAAGTTAAATATCTCTTTATTGCTTCCGAACAACTGCCTGAAATGTGGTTACTTTTGAATATGCTGCTATAGTTATCCCATTTTTTCTGATTAGAATCCCTTCTCAGCTCTAAAGGATCAGTTTTTGATCCATTGGGTATCAATCCAGATGTCTCAAGTGGTCTAAAAGGTGCTTGGGAAGGTTTTCTAGCTTTGTTAATGCCAACATTTGAGAGTGCATCGAGTACAAAGAACGATAAACCTTCAAATCGAGGATTAGCAGGTTTGCCTCTTGTATTGTTCATCAAAGATTTTCATGGGGCGAATATGATTCTCTTAGCTCTTGAGAGTTGATGACACTTCTTTGGACTTTGACAGCTGCAATTGAGGATAGTTCCATTGACATTGGGGATTTCTTCAAAGGTCCACTACCAGGAAAATTTCTCAAGCTTTTGGGATATTTAGCCCTATCCCGGCTTGGAATTTATATACCTCTTGGTGGGGTTAACAGAGAGGCTTTTGTTGGCAATTTGGATCAGAACAGTTTTTTGAGCACTTTGGATTCTTTTTCTGGGGGAGGCATTGGTAGACTGGGAATATGTTCTCTTGGTATTGTTCCCTTTATCAATGCACAGATTGTGTTTCAGCTTCTTGCCCAAATTTATCCCAAACTGCAAGACCTTCAGAAAAGAGAAGGTGAAGCAGGAAGAAAGAAAGTTCTTCAGTATACTAGATATGCTTCAGTTGGTTTTGCTATAGTTCAGGTATGTAGCTTAATCCTCCGGTGACTAATCTGTTAGCTAAATTGAATCTCTATACCCCAAGTTATTCATTCAAGTATTCTGGTTACCAATCTGTCAGCTAAAAAGTATGCATTCAAATATCAAGTGTTTAGTTAGTTTGGTATTGATATTTATACCTCTTACAGTTATTTAGATTGCGAGGGAGTAATTATCTCAATGGAGTCTGCATGATTTTAGGTTTTTAACTAAAATTTGATATTTCTTAATTATTAATATTAAAGAATATCATGTATGATTTTGTAGGAGCACTCTTAAAAACTTCATTATTTGCAGAGAATTTTGAGTGTAGGTGACTCCAAACAGCTGGCACCCTATCTCACATGTGCAGAAAATTCCTATTTTAAGTTTTTAACATGTGAAGACTGAATCTTGTCCATACATACACACAAAGCGTAGCATTTGATCCATCACAAGCATGCATGTTCATGATGTCATATCTGAAGAATGAGTTTGTTCATTGTTTGGTATACTTGATATACAGCAATACATCACTAGAATGATCAGGATTGCAGCAGACTCAATAAATCCTATCCTAGAATTCCTCTATCTACATTGATTCTTCAATCTTATAGGTTCTGCTTTGTACTTGTAAATTCTTCTTCACTTTCCTCTTGACATGCAGATGAGTTTAACATTCTCTTATACATAAATTGTTTCCTGTGGCAGGCAATTGGCCAGGTACTTTACCTTCGTCCATATGTTGATGATTTCAGTACAGAGTGGGTTCTTTCTTCAGTTGTTTTGTTGACTCTTGGTTCTGTGTTCACTACATATATTGGGGAAAGGATCTCAGATCTAAAACTCGGAAATGGAACGTCTCTTCTAATATTTACAAACATTATCTCCTACTTGCCAGCATCATTTGGAAGGGCAGTTGCACAGGCATTTCAGGATGGTAACTACATTGGACTTATCTCCCTTATCATTTCATTCTTCCTACTAGTTCTTGGCATTGTATATGTACAGGTAACTGCAATTCTCTTTATCTAATGAAAAGTCTATCAGTGAAAGCAAAGACATATTAACAACTAACTTGACAAAGGATTTCAGGAAGCGGAGAGGAAAATTCCACTCAACTATGCCTCAAGATACACAAGCAGAAGTGGAGGACTCCAAAAATCTGCTTACCTACCTTTCAAGGTCTCTATTCTCAGTTATGCTTTAAAAAGTTATAGTGCTGTTACTTGCTTGGTGCTAATGATTGTTTTCTCCCATTGAGGTCATAATGAAATTAATATGGACTCTTTGTAATGGTACAAAGCATAATGGAGCAACATGTGACTGTCACCAATTCTCTAGACGTGATACGTAATAATGACATAATTTCTGTTTATTATGCCCATGGTTTACCTTATATAGTTGATATTCTACCAATGTTGCCAATGGATGATGCTGCCTACAACCCTGTTGTGTGTCATGAGGTTTTCAAAATACAGGAACATGTGTTCAACTTATGGCCTGATTTTTTCATGACAATTGAGTCCTGCTTCTGTCCTGTCATAGTTAATGCTCATCCTACCCATTATAATCTGGGTGTTTCAGGTGCACCTTATTGAACTTTCCTTGGTCTAAATTACACGTTCTGCTTAATGCATCTTCATATTAGCATTATACTTTATTCTCTTGGTCTTCTCATAATTGTCTCTGTTACTAGGTAAATAGCGCTGGGGTGATGCCAATTATATTTTCAACATCGTCACTTGCTCTTCCCGGTACTCTAGCACGATTCACTGGTACATCTACTCTGAAGAATGCTGCCTTGGCTTTGAATCCTGGAGGTAAGATTAAAGATTTTGACTGTTAGAAATTCATGGTATTTTGGGCTGTTGGTTGTTAGTCCAATGTGATTGGTTAGGGAATGGCTTGTTCCTTCCTTGTTGGCTTGCTGGTTTGCCTAAGGTTGATTTTCCTGATGTCTGAATTGGAGGAAGGTAGGATGTATTGCTTGTTGACTTCCTCTCTGATTCTTTTCTAATTTCCCTCTTGGGAAGCTAATGGAATACTCTCGGGAATGGACTGAAGAAGTAAAACAATAAGTAGTACAATACAATAGTCTGCCATTATTTAATTGCATTCAATAGATATAGTTCAATTTTTCTTTAAGAAATTGATCTGTATCAAGCATAACTAGATTAAGTGTATGTAGGTTCTCTCTATCTTCCTACCAATATCTTGTTGATTGCATTTTTCAACTACTACTACACTTTTCTACAATTGGACCCTGATGATGTGAGCGAGCAGTTGAAGCGTCAAGGTGCATCAATCCCACTGGTCCGGCCGGGTAAAACCACAGCAGCATTTCTGAAAACGGTAACTCTATTTTTCTGTACTAAACATACCTTTAGCACATAGGCAGGAATTTTAATTTAAATAGCTGAACATTGTTGGAGTGTTACACCTTAAATTGTGTTGACTCAATATCACAAGATGTGGAGAAAAGGACAAATAGGTACAGAAAGAACTCTTGGTGACAGAAAGTCAAGCTTTGTATGTTCAAGTATGGGGTGAAGATGGAGGAAGTATTAATTTTCAATTGATTTATTATACTCAAATAATCTCAAGGATTTTGACCATATCTTTAGAAGCTCTAACCTAAACTCAGTTCTTTTTTGATCGCATACATACTTTTCTGGTTGGCCTATAGGTTCTTAGGCGGATATCGGTTTTGGGATCAGCTTTTCTAGCAATCTTGGCTGCCGGTCCTGCCGTGATTGAGCAAACGACACACTTGACTGCATTCCGGGGATTTGCAGGCACTTCTGTTCTGATTCTTGTTGGCTGTGCTACAGACACTGCTAGAAAAGTTCAGGCAGAGATAATATCTCAGAAGTACAAGAATATTGAGTTTTATGACTTCGACAGATATGGACAATAACAAGTATAAGAAATGAAGGGCCGGGAGAGGATGAGAAAACCATGACCTAGGTGTTAATTCTCAAGATGATGGTCTCTGGAAGAGGATATGTTGATGATGCTCATTTTGCTTGAGTGCATTTGCAGCCTTTGGTATATGTGTTCTTTCTTTGAAATTCAAGAGCAAATTTGGGATGTAGCTTGTATAGATGCTGCCTTGCAGCCACATTTAATTCATTTTAATGTCTTAAAACAAAATTGGAAATCTTCTTCTTGATTAGATCCTCTTGTTCATTCAGCCAACTGAATAATTGGAAGCACAAGTTGCAGTATCAATGAAAGTCAGTTAAGATTCAAGCTTTGTTTATATGAATATAAAAATTTTGTTAGTGTAAATAAATATCATAAAAGACAAAATAAATAAATAAATAGTTTTTTTAGTTAAGTAATTTGAAAATAAAACAAATTAGATTTTCACACAGGAAAATTCATTTGGTGCTAATTTGGCCCAATTTTAGAAAAGATTTTCTCTTTTGTAGACACTAAAATTAAGTTAAATACAGTTTTCTGAAAAATTAGTTAAAAACTACAAAACTATAGCTTTAATTCAAGAGTAGAACCGTTGTTTTTAAGCTTTTGGATTTGGTAAATTTATCAGTTTTTAAAATTGTTATGATCATTTCATATAAATTCATATTTCAACACTTCAACAAAAGCTAACAAGGCCAATCAGGCTTATTGTAGTCTAATTTTCTGCGTTCGTGTTCACTGATGATTAGTGGGTTTACCTGCTTCAACGATGAAACATAAAATTGCAAATAACATACATATAGCATCCAACACAAAAACTTGCCTGGTGCCTGTCCTTTTTCTCTTCCATTTCATCCTAGTGTGCTGCAGCCACAATCTTTGGAAGCTTAAATTACAGCAATCTTGGAACTGCTGGGCAAAACAGCTGCCAAGGATTTGGCATTCCAGATTCTTTCTGGAAGATTATGAACCCATACTCCAAATGAGTAACCCCAAGAGAAGCCAAGATGTTATGCACTCAGCCTTAATACTAGATGTCAGTCATCATCAGGGTCAGAAGAAAAATCAGGCTCTTCAGGTTTTTGTAATTTTGGCATCTCAACGTCTTTGTGTTTTTGAACACCTTTCCTGGTATTTGCTGCAAATCTCGAAGCCAGTAATGTGACCTCAAGATTCTCTGGTCTTGTTTGAGAAGAACTTGAGCCAGAAGAGATATGTTCCTCTTCTTCTCGCCTGGTCTTATCAGTCCCATTCTCACGTGAAGCAAATGATTCTGTCATCATGAAATTTTCCACCATCCTCCTCTTGTGTCGATGCCATGCAGCCTGTATGAAACAGGCTGCCCAAGTTCTCCAATGGTGGGAGTAATATCGGAAAGTGTGTTGCAGCCTCTTGCTGTGGAGGCGTCTAAATTGGTTTGCGACAAACTTTAGATCTTCAGCACATAGTGCAAAAGCTTCAACTTCATTCAAAGCTCTGACTGTTCTAGTTGAAGAAGGTAAGTTAACAGTTGATTTAGGTAGTAAAGCCCATGAAAGTAGTTCCTCTCCACAAAAATCCCCAGGTCTCAGTATGATTGAGTTGAAGAATCCAGTCCGGCCTCCATTAGTTGTAGAACTCACTAATCTACCTCTGATGATAAAAAGCATCTCTGTCACAGGATCACCCTCACGAACAAAATATGTGTTTTCAGTGCTTAAGGAAGATACTAGATGCTCACATATTGCATCAAGCAGCTGATCATCCATCTGGGAAAAGAGAGGGACCTGCAAATGAGAGAAGAAAGGGGGGTCAAAGTGATGGTACAGAAGCAAAATTAAAGTGGATCTAATAAGGATGAATCAAGATACATGTTTGTATGATGTATGCATGTACAAAAGATTTCAGATCATTCCTTTGAATTCAATTAAGCACATAATGGAGGAGTCAGTCCCTAAATGATGGAAAGAGTTACATTCTCTAGGTCAGATTATGGATCTTTATTAGATGGAAGGAACATACACGACGAACAAGGTCCAAACACAAGTGCCTTCGAATATCATGGCGAAGATCAGAAGGTAAGCCAGAAAGGATGGCTTCTTCATCAACTCCTCTTGTTGCAAGCCATTTGTATTGAACAAAACGTCGAACACGGTGCTTTAAGTCTTCTGGGAGCTGGCGATGTCTCATCCACTCCTCGGTGTCCCTTCGTTTAAGTCTCCATTCTTCCAGTCTCACAGTCAGAGATTGAAGGTATGTCTGTCACGGAAATCCTTAAACCGTATAAGAAAGATGAAATTACAAACATCACAATCATTTTAAGTTAGGGGAGGATTAACAATCTGTTGCCAAAAATTAAGAATGACACTGAAATGAATTATAAGAAGTTAAAAGTGAAAACACACGTAAAAGCACTAAACAGTGTCAAATGCCACTTGCGGAAAAGAAAACCTGACAAAATAGCATCCCTATTTTCCCAGTCTATGGTTAGTGGTGACAAGATAAAGGAAATATCACCCAATGAATACAAGAGAAGAACTTGAGAACATAGTGTCAATTGTTAAAAACCAAGTTAAAGATTTCAGAAGCAATAATTGCATCTAAATACAAACATGAAACGATTAATAGATGCACAGAAAAAGAAAAAAAAAGAAAAAAGATATGTACAGATTTTAGTTAATTGTATTTGTAAACAGAACAAAATCTGAAGTTTACGGGAAAAAGGATACAGCTGTCTAAATACCTGCATATTTCCAATCAAGTGGGCAAATAGGACAAGACCCAATATGGAAATCAGAATGGCAACTGATGTCTCCCCTATAAATATGCTGGTGGCCAGATTCTGCCCGTATGAACTGATGCAACAAGGAAACAAAAAGCATGTCAAGGTTGATTTGTTTTTAGGCCAGAAAGCAGGTCAACATTAATAAACACAAGAAACCATTTGAATTAGATATGTTTTCTTCCATAAAAAAATTAGATATATTTTCCTTATTAGGTTTAGGGAAAATCATCCTGTTGACCACAACAATCTTCCCATCAATACATGGAAAACAACTGATTTTCCAGTAACCAACTTTAATTAACATTTTATTTACTTGTTTTTTAGTACCATAGACAACTCCGTGTGATGCATTGCAACTGATTGTTAGTTCCATAACAATCTGACAATCACAGTTTCTTAGTGAAAAGACCAGCCTGTCGATATATATATATACACGCACACACACAGAATATCAATCAACTTAATAGAAATGATAGTTGTATTGCATAAAATGATGAAATCATACCTAAGTTGTTGTAAGCCCCACCACAAGCAATAGAAGTACTTCTCAATGAATTTAGAGGAGACAACATTCTTTGTCACAGCATTTTCAAATATACCATACTTGAAATCAATCTCATTGTTTGGATCACAATTCTTGAACACATTTGTACCAGTTGTCCATGTCTTGCGACCACCATCATTGAAAGCATCACAGTCTAAGTAATGGAGAAAGCATCCAACTTCCCTTTTGCAAATTGATTTCCAGCATGATGTATACCTGTCAACTGACAGCAAATACCATGCTGCCCCTACAACCTACATAAGTTAGCATTCATTTAGTAAAACTCAAAGAGGAGGTGAAGGGATAAGTAGAGACCACAAAAAAGGATTTGACAGAAAACTCATCCAAGCAAACCGTGATCCAGTATATTGAAAAAGACGGTAAACAAAAGAAACCAAAACCTAGAACAATGATTAATCAGGTAACTTACATGGCTGGCCAACATAAACAAAAGAAGATTATATGCAGCCCCTGCCCAGGCAGTTTTTGTGACCACTCCAGTTGCTCTAATAATTTGTGAACTTAGTGGAAAAATCAAATATAATCTCGGAATGTATTGAAGCAGAACAATTAAGGCAAGGGCATTATTTTTCTGTTCTGTTTGAGGGCTTCGTGTTGCAGGGATAATGAACCAGATGACTATCTGCAAAAAAACAATGAGCCACCATAGCATGACCATAACTGGTTATTAATAATTAGCCTTTCTTAGGGCCTCATCACTCTTATCTAGCAAAATTGAAAGGTTATTGAAGAATATTATCTTTTTCAGTGACAATAGAAACCAAACCACATGCTGTTGTCATCAAATCAAATCTAAGATTTTATAACAAAGAATTTCCTTCACACAGCAACTGATCAATTTCTTCAATCATAGTTTAGTTCAACAGACGGAGTGTATAGACCACATCAAAATTTATGATAATGGCACTCTAACTCAACTAAAAGCCTTAATCTTAACTAGTTAGGGCCAAGTAGATCAGTCCTTTCTCCATTCTGTTTGGTTAAGGTTTGCATTCTTTTCAAGACCTGAAGATGTGAAGTCCCTTCTTACAACATGAACCCACGTAAATATTCTAGCCATCTTCACTCCTTGTACGTGGGTTAAACATGCACACCATAACATTACTAGGTCATTAGTGACACACCTCTAGTTTTAAACTGAGTTTAGTTAGACCCTCTTCTAGATACATACAGAGTATATAAGCTACAACACAGATTCCAATGCAAGAAAGAGGGAGGCATGAAAGAAGATAGGGAACTAAAATATAATTCCAACAGTTCATGCTGATTCATTATGGTTAAGAAGATTATGTCTCTACAAGTATTCCTATGCATTGTACTAGAAAAACAATTGAGTTCAGATAACAAAACAAAACATGATGAGAAGTCAAATTACAAAAATGATAGATATGCAGTGGAAGTATTATTTTTCAAAACAAATACCTGAGGAAGAGGCAAGGTTGCAATGAGGTCAATGAAAAAGTCAGATCTAAGATACCTCTTTGCAATTTTCTTCGGATCCATTACAATTTCACCCCTCCCAAACACCCGAGTTGTTGAGTTCGGTGCTACATAACCTGTCCTAAATTTTATTATTATGTGTAACAAATAAAATATATCTGCAAGAGTTCGGAAAAATGTCACGGTAATTTGTAAGTTCATATCTGTCTTTACACATGAAGAGGTACCATCCCCTGCAACAGCAGGCAAGTAAAAGTACAATGGGTCGACAAAAAGTGCCACCAAGCATGAAACAATGAAAACCCAGTTCCATTGCAATACAATCTCACTACCAGGAAGAAGAATTCTCATGTACCACGGTGAACTGTCATCTGGAAACAACTCTGACCTCCCAATTTTGGAAGTCTCTGCTAGTCTACTTCTGCCTCCCACCACCTCATTCTCTGGCCTTATCACTGTAGGGACTGATACTCTATACCTAGAAGATGATTTTTCAAGGTGCATTGGCTCATTTAATCCCCAAAATGTTTCTTTCTCCTTTTTCCCATCAGAATAAAACCTACAAAATTCAAACCAACAAAGTGTTTTCATAAATTTAACCATGAAAACAATAAAAGAAACTTTAGATCTAAGTAATCAACTCTTAAACTTCTCAAGGTATGTTCTCCTCGTATAAAATTATCCAATACATCCTTGTTTACAGCTAAAGATTATACTATACTGCCAGATTCTCACACCTTCGCCAGTCCTTTCAAAGATCGAAATCCCCATTAAATTTTTCTAAAAGAAGCAGAAGTAGAATGTAGCTCTCTCTTCATAAGTGAACATTACATTTAGATCTTTATACTTTTCTTTGAATTTAAATTTAGCACAGAAAATAGAGGACCACAAAATGTTAGTCAAAAGAATCTCCTGGATATACGGCTCTGTGTTCCCCCAGAAGTAAAAAACGCCATCACTTAACCTGATGAATCATTGAAAGCTCCAAAATCCTAGTAAAAATTTCATCTTTTCTCTAGTCCCTACTTCTAGAACTTTCCAGCGTGTTTCCCACCTCCCAAACAGCAGAATTGAAGAAAATCAAAACAACCCAATAAATAAAGGTGAAAGAAGAAATCAGAGAAACTATTAATCAGAACTAATATAACTATATTAAGAACGAGAATCAATGATCAAACTCACCTCACAAGCTTTGTCTTCTTAAACTCCATACCCCAGAAGAAATAGACGATCTTCAAAACCAAATCCAGATGTACCCAAACACAACAGAATACAGGATTAACAAACTTTCCCTGTCTGAATCTGAGCTTTTTGATGAAAATTTAAGAATGCAAAGGGAAGGGAGGCGGCGGTGGGTTAGTGAGTGGAAGATTCCTGGGGTGTGACAAAAGTGACGAGGAATTGTCTGCTTTAGCCGTATTTTTTAATGTTGGATGTTGGATGTTGGATTTTGGACACAGCCACAGAGAAAAACAAAAAAAAAAAAAAAGTGTCCTGCTGCTTACTCGTAGTTGATCAAAGGTACAAAGCACAGTCAAGGTTTCACAACTTTGACCGAATCAAAATCACACATATTGATTGTGCAAAAACAAAAATGAAGAAGAAACTAGCGTCGATTTTCTTTTTTGGTAAATAGCGTTGATTTTTCTTTAAGTCTTTAATGGCTTGCTATAAATGGATGCGAAACAGTTGAAGTCTTAAAACTGGAGTTTGTTACGTGGAAATGTAATCAAAATGGATTTAGTGTTGTGCAAGTCAAGTTTAGGGCTTGAGTTTCAAACTTCAAAGAATAGTAACACTCAAAGAAATTAAATGGAAACGAAAATGGGGTTTAGTTTCAAAATTTTTCTTTGGTACATTAAAAGGTATTGGTTTAGCATCCAACTTCAAACTCTTTACACAAAATCAAGATTTTTTAGTTAAATTAACTAAATTTCTATTAGTTTCAATTAATTAGAAATAATGAAACCGTATGATTATCCAAAATATATATATATAATATTTTATTAAAATGATATACTTACAATTTACAAAACTACTTAAAATTGTAAGTTTAAATGAGCATATACATACTAATTTACAAATAGATCAATAAATAAAACAAAGCAATCACATAGCACCATGTTATAATTGTAAGCATAATATTTTTGATATTTTATAGTGACATTAACATAGGTGTAACAATTTCTTTTTCTTTTTCAAGACTTTTTATTTTTGGATAATAACAAATAAGTCCAACACTTAATTGAATAAATACTCTTTTTATGATTGAGCCACCTTATAATGAACTTAATGTGAATAGTCATAAATGATACATAAATGTTAAAATTAACTTATTTAAAATTAAAAATTATGAGTAATCGTTAAGACAAATATTTTATTTAATTGAACAAAATTCTTCTTTTTTTTTTCCCTCTTTCCTTCATTTTTTTATTAAGAAAAAAACTTGGACTATTGGGGGGAAGGGAATGGGTATTGGAATTATTATTATTATAACTTTACAAGGGGAGGTGTGGGTTCGATCCCCACACCCCAACTGCCATGCCATGGGGCATGGTATAGACCTTAATCACTGGGCTCAACAAGTGGTCGGCTTCGCTTCATTTCCTTAAAGCCCAAACATGTTATAAGTTTACATCATACATGGCCCAAACATAAACCCCAAAGTTTATCTTGAAGGAAGGCAACTAAAAGACTAATAATACTTGATAGCCCAATCTTAATGCAGATGGGCAACAACTATCTCAGAAAACACTGAAACCAAACACAATCTTAGCAGATCTTGCTAATTTGTTTCGCTTAGTTTTTTTATCTTTTTCTTTTTTTTTTAACATGTTTACAAAGAAGATGGAACCCAAACCTAAAGGAGAAGGAGGAGTGCACATTTTTCAATGTGACTAATGCTACTAAGTTCGAAGGAGTCAGGTGCACTTGGTTTTTTCATCTTTTAGTATCTCAAAAATATGTAAAATGTATTTTATATATTTAATATTAATTTTAATTAATATTTTATATATTTTTAAAATAATAAAAATATACAAAAATCAATAAATAAAGTATTAAAAAAATGAATGCTTCTCCTCAAATTTCTTCTTAGGGTTAGTAGACCATCGAAAACTGTGGTTAGTTTGATAGTTGTAGCCTTGTCTTTAATGGGATGGGTGCCTTGTCCATGGATATTCAAAAAAACAGTGAGGAGCCATAAGCCACATTTCATTACAGATTAACATACCCAGTTATCAATTCACTTGCCCGAATCACCGCTCAAAACTCACATCGACCGACTCAGGCGTGCCATTACAGGTTCTTGGAGCATGGTTTTCCCACGCCAAATTTATAGCCAACTCGGGCAAATTGATTTTCAGAACTGGGAATTTTGACTTAGCCAGAGTGAAATGCCAGTTCTCTTTTTTAAAGCATTTCAACAAAGAATGTGCTACACCATGGTGTTTTGGCGCTCCCTCCTGCCTGAAGACGAGAGATCCAATGAGAGCTCCATCTAAGAGGCGATTATTTAGACTGGCTTGATAATTGCAATCACAATCCAGCGTCACCGCCAAATGGATTTCAACAGAGGGTAGAGGTAGTGGGGATGGTGGCTAGTAATTAATTATGTTGATAAATTACATATTTTAAAGTTCAGGCTGCAGCTGCTGGGTCCATAAGCCATGCCGCTGCAACTGAGCCTTTGACAACATAAAAATGGACATGAATGCTGAGCTGCCAATAAATACCCTGCAAGCGGTAGATGAAAGATGAACCGTTGAACAGCAGCTAGCCTTAAGATTAGATGAGGGTCCACCGGGATGGCAAAGCCAGATACAGGCAATTAGTACTGAAAAGAAAGAATTAAAAGAAGAAGAAAAAGAAAGCAATTTAACTAGTGAGGCTGAGGAGCTACGCAGAGCATCAAGACAAGCAGTTGATAAAGGTGAGTCTTCTTACAGGAGTAACCTGAAATCATTAGGAAATTGTGTCTCCAACTGAAATAAGTAAAAAGTAAAGACTAATTCCCATAATCTTATCCCAACAATTTAATTTTTAACAGTTAGATAAAAAAAAATGCTTTCTCAACTTTTCTTTTTCTCATATATGAATGACCATCTGGTTTATCTCTTACATACTCGACCTTTTATTTGTTCCTGAAATTGCATTGTTTTAACTAAACTTTCTTGTTTAACATTTTATGTCTACCTAGCAACATATATAACCACACAAAGCCTAGGAACATCATTTACCACGCACACATTGATTCACCAGGCAACATCTTCTAATAGAAATTGAAAAAATATAACAGCAGAGTCATAACCCACATATTAGAAACTTATAAACAAGGCTCTGTAATCCATATATTACAATCAGGGTTATAGCCCCATGTCATGTATCTCCAAGACCAGAAAAAAATGGCTATGGGAAGACAAAAATTTCATATAATCAGCATTTACATTTCATCTTCTACTAAAACTAAATCCTTTTCCCACATATTTCCATTTTATCCAGTTAGCTTTCCTTCCTTATCACCTAGGAAGTTAGAAGAAACTTTCTTCTGACCACAGCTCCCTAGGAAAGAAACCTTTTTCCCATGTTAAATAAATAAAGGGTTTTTTTAACATGCCAGTAATAACTACATTTTTTATCTTAAATTTGTGTTAGGAATACAAAAATTAACCTTTAATTTATCATTCATATAATTAAATTCATCTCTTTAACAATATATTAAAATTAATGTCAATTTTTATTTTTTATTTTTATACATTTATGACGAAAGATGCCCTCTAACATGTGCCCGTAGAAAAACTCACAAATAAACATCTGCCATTTTCCTTACTGAATTCAACAGCAAAGCATCCGATGAGCAGAATTCTACACTTTTTTCTAATCACAAACCAAAATTTTCAGCAACCATAGAAGTAATGCAGCATTATAGACAGAGACAAGGGAGGCTTACTTCATATTCATTAAATTTGAAACTGTACATTACAACCAAAACCAAATCTCAAACTCAACAAAAATCAAGGGTTCCAACAAACTTACAAATCTAAGAAAGCCCGAATTCTGTCATCCTCGTACCAAAACCCCAAATGCTCTTATCCTCATCCAAGCAAACCCTTCTCCTGCAAACGGGACAAGCAGCGATTTTCACCAGCCAAGTATCCACGCACTTCCTATGAAACAAGTGACCGCATCCATCAAGCTTCCGGCACCACTGGCCCTGTCTGAACCCATCCAAGCAAACAGCACAGTCAGCTTCGAAATAGGTATGGGTGGTTTGTTTCGAGAACCTAAATTGCGGAAGCTTGCGAAGGAGTTTTGGAGAGAACCCAGATGAGGAAGAGTCGTGGCTTTGGCGACGGTGGTATCGGTGGCGAAGGAGGAGGGGAAGGAGGAGCATGAGGGATGCGAGGGGGAGGAGGAGGAAGAAGACAGAGGTGAGGAACAACATGATTATGGATTTGAGGATTAAGGATAGGAACTTCTGGTTAGGTTTTTGTGGGGGTGGCGGAGAGGTACCGTCATGATGGAGTTGGTGGGGAGGACGCGGCATGGACTCTGGATTTTTGATTAATCTTTCGGGATGCCTGAGGGTGACGATGAGGCGATTTCGGGAAGGTGAAAACTACTGATAGACGAGTTGTTTTCCGTTTTAAATAGGAATACTCATTTTAAGAGAGCCGAAGGATTTGGTTTGGATTGGATTGGACCACGGTTTTCTTGCGTTTCTATGGGCCTTCGAGGTAGTGGTATGGTGGATTTTAGATTTTAGATTTTGTTTTTAAGTATTTTTTACGTCAAGATTGTACATTAAAAATATAATTTAATTATTAAAATTATTAAAATATTT